CAGATGAGGGCAAGGTGAGTGGGATGTTATTTCAGTTGCTGCTGCTGGCTGGATGGGCTTTGAGGAAGGGGTGGCTGGGGATTGCCATGGGTGGGGAAACACATCTGATTTTCATTCTCTCTTTGCCTTTGAGTGACAGAGGTTTACAGGAGAAGCTGTCCAGTTGGTGGATCTCTCCTGTCTTCTGCTGTTCAGCTGGAGAGATCTTTCTCCAAGGTCATCAGGTCTCACTTTCTCCAAGGTCATCAGGTGTCACTTTCTCCAAGGTCATCAGGTCTCAGATACATAACCAAAATCAGTCTAGGCTGGCTGTATTTTGGGCGTCAGCTGCTGGCATGTGCCTTGGTGATGCCATGGGCATGGCACAGCAGGTACACTAGTGACAGTTTCCCTTGTCCCACAGGCACTGGTGACTTGATGGTCATTGAGTGAGGGTAGGAAGAGCTGCAGCCCTGTGCCAGATGAGGCCAAGGTGAGTGGGATGTTGTTTCAGATCCTGCTTGTTGGCAGGATGGGCTTTGAGGAAGGGAATGGCTGGGTTTTACAGTCGAGCAGGGAAACACATCTGGCTTTCATTCTCTCTTTGCCTTTGAGGGGCTGAGGCATACAGGAGAAGCTGTCCAGTTGGTGGACCTCTCCTGTCTTCTGCTGTTCTGCTGCAGAGATGTTCCAGCTTCTACAAAGACATCAGGACGAAGATATGTAAGAACAATCAATCTAGGCTGGCTGTATTTTGGGCGTCAGCTATTGGCATCTGCCTTGGTGATTCCATGGTCATGGCACAGCAGGTACAATGTTGACAGTTGCCCTTGTCCCACAGGCACTGGTGACTTGAAGGTCATAGAGAGAGAATAGGAAGAGCTGCGGCCCTGTGCCAGATGAGGCCATGGTGAGTGGGATGTTGTTTCAGTTGCTGGTGCCAGCAGGATGGGCTTAGAGGAAGGTAAATGCAGGGGTTTGGCAAGGGTGGGGAAACACATCTGGTTTTCATTCTCTCTTTGCCTTTGAGTGATAGAGGCATACAGTAGAAGCTGTCCAGTTGTTGGACCTTTCCTGTCCTCTGCTGTTCAGCTGGAGAGATGTCCCACTTTCTCCAAGGACATCAGGTCTCAGATACGTAACCAAAATCAGTCTAGGCTGGCTGTATTTGTGGGCATCAGCAATTGGCATCTGCCTTGCTGATGCCATGGGCATGGCAGAGCAGGTACACTAGTGACAGTTGCCCTTGTCCCACAGGCAGTGGTGACTTGAAGGTCATAGAGAGAGGATAGGAAGAGCTGCAGCCCTGTGCCAGATGAGGCCAAGGTGAGTGGGATGTTATTTCAGTTGCAGCTGCTGGCAGGATGGGCTTAGAGGAAGGGAAGGGCTGGGGTTTGCCATGGGTGGGAAAAAACATCTGGTTTTCATTCTCTCTTTGCCTTTCAGTGCCAGAGGCATACAGTAGAAGCTGTCCAGTTGTTGGACCTTTCCCGTCCTCTGCTGTTCAACTGGAGAGATGTCCCACTTTCTCCAAGGACATCAGGTCTCAGATACGTAACCAAAATCAGTCCAGGCTGGCTGTATTAGCGGGCATCAGCTGCTGGCATCTGCCTTGGTGATTCCATGGTCATGGCACAGCAGGTACAATGTTGACAGTTTCCCTTGTCCCACAGGCACTGGTGACTTGAAGGTCATAGAGAGAGGATAGGAAGAGCTGCGGCCCTGTGCCAGATGAGGCCAAGGTGAATGGGATTTTCTTGCAGTTGCTGGTGCTGTCAGGATGGGCTTAGAGGAAGGTAAAGGCTGGGGTTTGCCATGGGTGGGGAAACACATGTGGTTTTCATTCTCTCTTTGCCTTTGAGTGCTAGAGGATTACAGTAGAAGCTGTCCAGTTGGTGGACCTTTCCTGTCCTCTGCTGTTCAGCT